GAAAGGCAGGAAAAGGATATCAGAGAAGATAACAGTACGTAGGAGTCAACATTAGACAGAGTATCAATAGGTTTGGGGTAGGGAAGTCTTCATCTGTATCGAAATAGTTACAATTCAAAAAATTTTCTGTTAAAACCAACAGATTTAAGATGTTTGTATAATGGTTGATTACAGAGAAAAATGACTTTGTTGAACTTGTCTGAATATTGATCTAGAGTAGGATTTTTAAAAGTTATGTGATGTTGAGCTAAATCTTCTCCCAATGTAATTAAAACTAGTGACCACAGCAAAATTTGATCTACTCTATATCCATTCAAAATAAAATTGAAACCTGCCTTCCTTCTGCTCTTGTTCCCTGGTGGATTCCTATGTTTGTACCTTCATTTTCAACAGAGCTGTTCTGTATGAGTAGGGAGACGGACAAGGTGTAATAAACAAGGTAAACTGACTCTTTTGCTTGCAAGACCATTTCTGGATCCTTTCTTTGAGCATTAGCCAAAATCCATATGGTATGCTTGGGCAGCTGAGCTTCTGAGTCACAGAATAATGTCATTATTGTTTACTTCAATCCACTTTGATCAACCTTATTTGATCAGCTGTACAATTAAAGGTAGACACTTGATTAAGTATCGCTCAGGAGTACAAAGGAGGAAAAGAAAGCAATTCAGATGAGATGGTCCCAGATAGCAGGGTCAGTGGATCAAATGGGAAGGTGAGGAAGAACTTTTTAATGAAGGCTTTCAGAATAATGTTAGTTGCTTAAGTCTTGAATTACTCATTGGGATGGTTCTTGTTAACTACATTTTCATGTTGTATAGACACATATTTATTAAAATTTTAAGTACTATATTGCTGTTGGAAACCCATAATTAATTGATTAATTTCTTTATTTCTTTAACGCAAGAACATTATTAGGAAAGGACAGGCCAGTAGTTACACAGCATTGGGTTGGGACTTGGGAGTTTCTACTTCCCTTCCCAGCTCAATCACAGGTTCACTCTGTAGAAACTTAGCTTCTTTGCTGCTTATACCTACCCACTAAGGTTGATCATCCTTCATTTCTTAGCTTACACAGTCAGAGCAGGATTCAGGCCTTATCATAGGTAAATAATATGATTTTAAAAGTACAATACTGGATGGGCAGTAGATGAAGGGGTTCAGGTGAAGCGACCCCTGCTGGCATATGCTTGGGTCAAATCAAAAGGTTAAAAAAAAATTTCAGTTAGCACAATGGTCTTATCCTTCTCTATTTCTCTGTACAAAGTTCTTGTATTTGCATCTTCTAGTCATGAAAGAAAAATTTGTGGTAAAAGGATTGGATTGTGCAGTGTTGTATGGTGCATACAGATTATTAATACTTGCAATTTATGTGTGCTTAATCACCTCTTCCCATGCTGTAGTGTACCTGGGTAACTGCCACCTCTTGAATAAAATAAGCGTATCAGGAAAGAAGATGCTTTCTGAAAAGTGCAGAGGACTGTTTATGGAAGCTTGCAATTCAGGAACATTTCCATTTTCACTTTGAAGCTGTATAAAGCTTCATCTGCAGACCACAGATTTTCAGGTTATGTGTCACTGTTGCCAAGGGAGGTGCCTTGGAATAAAACTGATAAAAACTTATCCTGTCTTCATAAACCTCAATAAGAACTAAAACGATGCTAAAGGCCATTGAAAGTAACTTTCTATTTTCATGCCATCTAATCTCAATGACAAAGTTTGATGTGTCATTTTTATTTTACAGATGAGGAGACTGAAGCCTATCAGTGATGTTCCCAAGGTCAAAACTGAGCTGCTCAACAGAGATAGCCATCTATCCTTAATTTTCAGTCCGGTGGTTCTCTCATCAGGTGGTCTATCCCAGCCTGAAATCATTTCAGTATCTTGAAACGTACTTGGGCAATGGAAAATATATTGGAGATCTTTAAAGTCAATAAGAGTATTTTTTCATCTATTTTGGGGGTTAGGAGGAAAATAAAACAGAATAAAATTTTTTTTTCCACAGTACCCCTGCTGGAAATCATCGAGATATTAAATCTCAGTAAGCTCTTTCGTTACTAATATTAGTATTGCAGAAACATTCAAGTCTGAAAAGAAAGTCCATGGTAAAGATGTTACATGTAGAAATAATGAAAAACAGACCTTCTTTTGAAAGATTCTGGGGCCTACATAATGGGTATTTATGCTAAAGCAACCTGTCTACTCTCCTGCCCCTTTTACAGGAGGTCTCAAATCTTCTATAGGTCTTGTGTCATGCCTGCTAACCAGCACACACTGAAGCAGCAGTAGGAGATTCAGTTATTGGTGCACCATACATGTAACACACCTGCTACATTTACTGTATAATTTGCAACTGGCATTGAAACTGAAAAATGATGATGAGTGTTCACTATTGGTGATTGCCACTGGTATAGTAATTTTTTTAAAAATTCTTGTCCCTGCTCTCTACTTAGTTCATATGAGTGGTACTAATTCAGATGAAAAAAAAAGTTCTGTGAGCAGAATTTCCTTCTTCTTGAATGGTTTTTTTCACTGTATATAGACTATATTTCATCCTCATTTCACAGTCCCTTTCTAAGCCACTGAATTTTTTCTTTCTGACAGGACAGTGGAAGAGATTCTTCAATAAATATTGAGAGCATGGCATGACCACTGTGTGCAGATTGCACCTTTATTCTTCACTGTATATGTCATCCAGACTAGAAAAACCATAGTTCACCAGACATGCATACATCTTCAATCTCAACATTCTCCCTGCACTCCGACTGCCTGATCCTTCCCAAAGACTTCTGCATAACTCAGAACTATCAGTGAGGGAATGAAAGGGAAGGTAATGTCCATTTTCTTCATAATTCTATACTCCATTTCCTTCATATTGCTGCTAGGTTAATATACTTGTGGTCTGTATACCTTACACTTGCAAATCTTCGTGTAACTTATAATAGGGATAAAGATTTTTTTATATTTGAAGTAACCTGTGTGTCTGTGAGCTGTAATCCTAGAACAGCTATTATTGTTGCTAAATTGACAAAAAATCTCTGATTTCCTTTGAACACTGGACAAGTTGAGTGGTTCTGTTGCCATCAAATATAACAGTCATTGGTTAATTAAGAACTCTTTAAACCTGTTTCAGAATGGTCTGTTCAAAACGAAACCGATAGTCAGGAAGATGTTTGCAAGATGTTAGCAAATGCATGAACTTGTATATGGGTCTATTTCTTCTAAAGATGTCAAAATATGAGTTGGGGTGTGGTATCGAAACTGACCTACATGAAATGAGCAGCAGTAACATGGACTTGGGCAATGTAGACTTTGTCATGATTTTAATTATCAGAAGGAATAAACCCCATCTGTTTGGTTATTTCAGTATTCTGTACTTTTATTCCTAAATAATAGAGTGAAAGATCTAGTTCAGTATATAAATGATCAGTACGAAGCTGGTTAACGTGGTTTCATGACTTAGTTTTAGAGCTGAGATTGTGGTCAGTAGACAGGTGGGATTGTAATGGCTTGTGGCAGTGCGTGGTACACCTGGTATGTGTGCATGTCCTCATCATTTTAGTTTCAAGCTGCTGTAGCACCTTATTGCTGCTTCTATAATGAAATGCTAGGGAAATGCCTTGTTAAATTTTAGCTTAGCATTATTAAGAACAAAACAATAATTACAAGGCATCACAAATGAAAGAGAAAACAAGAGGCTTATAACCATTTTGTAACCCAGTTCGTCCTTGACCACCGTGATCTGTCAGTCACCTAGGCTTTGATGAGTAACATAATCTCTGTGTTTGTGACCTTTACAGGCAGAATTAGAAGGAACAAGTAAAAAGGAAAGGGGAGGGGAGTTGGGGGGTGGGGGTTTCGGAGTGAAGAAATAAAGAGGAAAACAAAGAAGGGGAGTGTCCAGACAAGGTTTATCTATGTTCTGTCTCCATGTTTATCTATGTTTGTAATGACAAAATTACACATGTGAGTAAACAAGTACAAAGGAAAGAGTCGTCCCAAATGGGGAAACTTATTTCATGTCAGCACTCAATCATGGTCTTTGTTGTTAACTGGAAAAAATCAGTCAGCTTGATTCATCAGCACTTAATTCCTATTCAAAAAAGTTAATAGAAACAAGCAGTACTTGTTTTCATTTAAACAATTTAGAAGTGTGTGAGAGGGCAAAGAGAATGAGAAGTGAGTGCTCACATGCAGTATGTGCACGTGTGGGAGTAAACAGCTTGCTTCTTGTATTCCCGCCACCTGCCTGAGGCAGTAACTGAGATCCACGCAGCACTGAGATAGATGAAGGGACCACATCAGCCAGAGTAGGAAATCCATCAGGGAAACATGTCTGTCACATATCCTCTCAGTGGTATGCAGCTACAGACAGAGAGAGAAAGTACAGGCAATTAGTTTGTCATCCATATACAGGCTGAGGATCAGCCAGAAGATTTTGCTCTGGATAGACTTTGGAAGAGCACCAAGCTGATGTGATACATGGCTCCATGTGTACTTCATCACAGCACAGAGAGTCTGACTTCTGGCACCAAGAGTCACTGTCTGTTTCCGGTGGTTCCAGGCGCAACCTCCTGGTTTCCAGTAGGGTCCTAATTACACAATGTTTGCCCTGTTTCCAGTGGTTCCAGGCACAATCTCCTGGTTTCCAGTAGGGTCCTAATTACACAATGTTTGCCCTGTTTCCAGTGGTTCCAGGCACAATCTCCTGGTTTCCAGTAGGGTCCTAATTACACAATGTTTGCCCTCATCTGCTCCACATGGCCAAAGGCAACAGAGAGAATGTCACAGCTACTCTTCAAATGGCTGAAGATTGTCAGCTTCTTTGGCTGAATAATAGAGATGACCCTCGCAAACCTGTTTCGCCAATATTTGCTTTGCTTCCTCCTTTTTTTTGGTTGGCTCTAATTTTTATCAGATCTGTTTAATGTTTAACAGCACTAATTAAGCAGAAGATGGTGTACTAGTATAAGTAACAGTGTGGGGAACAACATGGTCAGCTGAATGCAACGAGGCTTCTGATTTCGTAAGTACTACACATGCACTTTTCTTGGAGACTTGCAAACGATGATTTCTCTGGTTGGTTGAATTTTAATATTAAGTTAATTTCATTTGTCTGCTTGTGATTTGGTTCTGTGCAGATGTTGCAATGGAAGATTAATCAAGCAGACATGTAAGGGACCAGTGGGACCTGCTGTTCTGGGGGAATATGCTTAGTCTGAAATCAAACTAAAATAACCTTTGAAGTCATGGGGACTTATTAAGTAGTTGTCAAAACAGAATATTGATGTAATCACCTTTTAGGTTGAAACAGTCTTCACAGTGACTCAAAATTAGTATAATCCCACTATTGACTGAACAACCAGGTCCAATTTATAAATTCTTTCAGTGACTTAATTTAAAAAACAATCATTGAATTGCTAAGGCCATGCTTTCTAATTAGACAGGGGTGAGTGTAATGGGGGGGGGGGTGTGTGGAAGGCCACAATTTAAATTTAATTGCCCCTTTTATTTCCATAGACAAACTAATATGTGGTCTGGAAGAGAATTATTTTCTGAATTTCCAATTTGCATAAAAAGTACTGCCAGATTTAGTAAAGCCTTTCTTCAGCTTTGAACTGTTAACAAAAATATTTGTGTGTGAAATTTTCTAATCTCAAAATGTTGAAATTAATGTGATTTCATCTCTAAAGGGAAAAGTATGGGAGGAAAACTTGATGACAATATTCAGTGTTTTCCAGCTTCTGGTAGAAGCATTTCTTTCAGATTTCTACAGAGAGCACTGATACTAAGAAAAGTTTTATAACTGATCTGTTATAGTAGAAGCTATAACAGAGACATGCCTAATATAAGCTTGCTGCAGAAAAAAAAAACTAAACCATACTCTTTGCTTCAGAAATTCTTTGAAATTCAGGCTAAGTTCTGTATGGACACAGGAAGTGAACATGGACAGATAAAAATTATCTTCTCACCTGAGTGTGCAATATCTCAAATACCTAGAGATAAACAGCCTACAAGATGTTAAACATCAAGTATTTTTGGAACACCCTGTGTACTACATTATTACTTCATTTTTCCACATAGGGGTTTTTTGGGTTTTGGTTTTGGGGGTTTTTTTGGCTGCGAAGAATAGGGAGAGTTCTGCTTAAAAGAGCTGCAAATAGCTGAATCATATTCCCATCTAGAGCCATATTCCATCTTTTGGTTTAAGGAAATTCAAATTTAGTGTTACCACTTTTTACCGCAGGTCACTGCAGTGGACCCTATCTTCTCTCAGGCACACTCAGCATACTCAGATCTAAGCAAATATGAGAACACACAGCTAGTGTATATGTTTGCTATAAAAACAAGGAAGATCATCAATAAAAAAATAAAACAAAATCCTTGAACTTGAGCTGCCCTCAGAAACTCCATCTAAATGTTGTTTAGATAGTAAATACAATCATCTTTCACATCTGGGAATGAATGTAAGACCAGGACAACTTTACCTTGGCAGGACAGGGGAAAATATGTTCCTGGAAGAAAAGGCTACAAACAGGCTGCGTTGGCTGGAAACCAGAAGAGAAGCCATAACAGTAGAAAAGTTCTAGAAATATTTTCATGCAGAAGCTACAAGAACAAAAAGCTTATTTTCATTGATAGCTTGTTACAGCTCTGAAGAGGGTTTGTATGAGATGCCTCCAGAACAGCAGGGAACTGAATTCAGTAAACCAGAGACTTGTCCCAGCTCCTGTGGAGAGCACGGACTCACATGAAGAATATTACATCAGCATTAGGAGAACAAGCATAACAAAGAAACTTGTCATCTCCAAAGAAATTAATCTATGTCTTTTGATTTCCAAATGGGATCAATGGTCCTCTTCTTCTTGGACCCAGGTCTTTCCCATATCCCATGCAAGTTAACCCATTGGTGAGGGGCAAAACATCATTTAACAAATTACAAACACTTGTTGCAGCCACCAAAAAAGAAAGGTTCCTTCACTCCAAACGTGCACCTCATTTTCTGATGCAAACCTGCTGCTTCCCACATGCCTTTGTGCCCATTTCTGCGTGCACTGCTGTCATGTCACAGGATGCTCCAGGCTTTTGCCTTGAATTTTGCGTTGAAGTTCATGCCTTTCTTCCACCACCAGCTGTGGCCAATGACTGGCCATGTGAGTAAGTAAACAGGGCCATGAGGTAAACAGAGGTGTGAATTTAACAAGCACGAAGTAGTCTGTGATAGCTGTCTGCCTCTGTGCTGCTGCCTTGGTGGAGGTGAGGGAATTTACCCCACTTCCAGTGAGTAGCGAGATGTCTCACATTTCCTTACATTTATCAAATTGCTTTTGGGCAGATGCTGTGGAGTATTTGATGTCTTTGAAACCCCCACCCTGTCTTCCCTCATGGTAACTTGTTTGTTTAGATGTACCCTATGGGAGACAATGATCATAGGAAAATAATGTAATTGTTAATTGAGATTATTGTGAACTTTAGCTCTATGTTTTCATAGCCAATGTATTATAATGAAGAAAAGCATTGCCTTTTCAGGCCAGTTACAATGAAATATGATGGTTTTATTATGCTGACATTTTAATCTACAACTTGGTTGAATTTATTAATTAAATTTGACGTTGTACCCATGAGAACTTCAAATATCATGTGTATATTAGATATTTACAGTTGCACTACATAATATTTATGATAATAAACTATTTATTATTCCTTACTACCAAGCACATCATTACCATCTGCTCATTTAATGACTGTTTATTTTGTGACAGAATAATTTCAAAAGAAGATGAAGTGTATCCTGTGCCTGTGTTTACTCCTTGCTGTTCTTTGTGCTGTAACCCATTGCCGCCATGAAGATATTTGCCATGAAGTCAACAATATTAATCTGCAAGATGGAACTGAAAATTTATTAACACATAACTGTGACAAGCAAGGCTCAAACTATGCAGATTTTGTATTTAGATTTTACAAGCAGGCTGTATCAAAGGAAGCTGATGAAAACGTTTTCTTTTCTCCCATGAGCATCTCCACTGCATTTGCCATGCTGGCTGTTGGTGCTAAGTCAACCACCCTGTCTCAGATTTTTGGAGGACTGGGCTTTGACGATCTGACTGAGGCTCGCATACATGAAATACATGACAGTTTTCACAAAGTTTTATCCATACTGAACTGTGCTGATGCTAATATCACATTAAATATAGGGAATGCCATTTTTACAGCTACTGGGTATGAACCACAGGAGTCATTTTTACAAAATATCAAACAATTTTATGATGCAGATTTTTTTAATAGCGATTTCCATAAACCAGAAGAAACTAAGAAGCAAATCAATAAATATATAGAGGAGAAAACCAAGGGGAAAATTCCTGAATTAGTTGGTCATCTTGAACCAAGTACTGTACTAGTTCTAACTAACTACATTTATTTTAAAGGTAAGATATTTAACATAATATTCCAATAGATGGTTTTGATGCAAAATAAAAATTTTAGGGAACTCCTGATGATTTGTTACCAGAGTGACTATTTAGGAAAGAACTAAATTGTGCAGAACCTTCAAAGTAGAGATTAGATCTGGCCAAGAGCAGGGTATCTGATTGTTGAGAAATACTGATTTCTTAATCATGACCCAGTTTGCCTGAAAGCTGTAGACAGAGAAGTCCCTCTCTAGTGGACCTCTCATAGACAGGGATCCACTGCACATAGTCGCACCGGTCTGAGAGCACAATGACTAAAGATGTTTCCAAGATCTCTATGCTGACTGCACATGCCAGTCAAACTTGGTGGACCGATACTCTCGCATAGGGTCCCCAGTTCTATGGTAGATCCACTAGATGCATTGCATTAAAATTTGGGGTAGAGCATTTTGAGGGCCTGTGTCTCTGGAGGCTTGAGCAAATGTTAAGACCCTTTATTCTGCTGATGAATTCCTCACCAGGTTGAGTACAGTCAGCTTTTGTAGGGGCATAGCCTAATAGAAAAGGTATGAGAAGAAGGTCCTGTGGCTGAATGTTTAAGCCATTGTATTTAAATGGCATAAAAGGCATTACATATGGCTACAGTAGAAGGACTCTCAATTGGTCCTCATCAGCCTTTTGTTGTTTTTCAGCAAGACAGGACTTACTTACACTTACTATGCTGGGCTTACTGCACAGCTAAAATTGCTTTATTGTGTGTTATGCAGGAGGTTGAAATTATTCAGTGATCATATTCTCCCATAAATAGCCCTCCATTGTCCTACATTTAAGTTGGTCTAATTTAGAAGAGCCATTTCTTATGATTACCACATTTGACTACCATATCTTATCTTTTCCCCCATTAGCTGCCTGGGAAAAGTCTTTTGATCCTTTGCGTACATATGAGGATGATTTTTTTGTGAACACAAATGCATCTGTTAGAGTCAACATGATGCAGCATGACAATACCACTAACAGTTACTACGACCAGGATCTCTCCTGCGAGGTGATAGAGCTGCCTTACCAGGGCACTGCACGAGCATTGCTCATTCTGCCTGATGATGGAAAGATGAAGCAAGTGGAAGATGCTCTCTCCAAGGAAACTCTTTGTAAATGGAATAACAAACTTATGCCCAGGTAACTCTAGGTAGATGGATTACTATATTTGAGAACAATTCACTGTTTTTAAAAGGAAGTGCTAAGTTCGGATCATCTCCTGCTGGGTATAATGTCCTGATTTCATAAATAAGCAATTCCCCAAGTGAGTCAGAGAAGAGCATAACTGCTAAGAAACTGCAGGCTCTCTGACCAGACAGAAGGGGTCACAGCATTGTAACAATTGCCTCAAGACTTGCTTGGCTGCCTTTTGACTACTGTACCTCCTCTTTCATGGTGCCAACACAATTCATTTTCTTCACCATGAATTTTGTCATGATATATTTTTCCTCCTTTTCCCTTATTTTAGGCTTTCCACAGTCAGTCTGCTTATTCTCTGCAACTCTCTAGCCAAAAAACTCTGCTAGGTGTCTGTATGTGGCATTGGGATGAATGAATAGCAATGAAGAAATTCGTTTCTTTTCACAAAAATCAAATGGAGAATGTAGAAACAAGAAGATGGAGCATCTCTCTGGATGCCAAGATTGCTCAAGGAACACAAATGCTACCATCAAACAAGTCTGCAATCAAAAGAATTCTTTCAAGTGTCACTGAATTGCATACTATCCATCCTGCTGGCTGAAACAGGCCTGGAATGCCTCACTGTTGTTTTGTTTTCTTTGATCAACAGGAGATTAAATCTGCAGTTACCGAAGTTTTCTATTAGTGGGTCTTATGATGTTAAAAGCCTGTTTGAGAAAATGGGCATTACTGAAGTGTTCTCAGGTAATGCTGATCTGTCTGGAATTAGTGGCAGCCATAATCTCCAGGTTTCACAAGTAAGTGCTAGTGATGGGGTGGCGGTTGGTTGTTTTGATCAATTGTGTCTAGGGTTTTTAAAGACTTTCTTCCCCTCCTTTTATTGTTGAAGTTATAAGTAAAACTCACAACGAAACGTAGGGGCTTGCTTAGTAATTTTGCTTTTCTACAGAAAGAATCTTCTGGATCACTTTTGTATTACTTTAATATTGCTATTAAAAGGCTGGATATTAAGTACATGGAAAAGTTGAACAACTTTAAATGATTTCTTGGCACTGGAATATAATATTTTATATGATATTGTGTCAAACTCTAAATGAGGAGTATATTATGATCTTTGTGTTGATTAGTACCTAATTTTTTAATATTCTCAAAGTTTCCAGGAGATTTCCAGTTTGCAGAAGCAGAATTTCGCTATGTCAGTTTAAGCTATGATTTAATGTTAAAGATGCCAAATACTAGCCCTGTATTAGCATTTAAATAGCAGCGTTTCATTAACCTTGGAATAAGAGACAGTGTTCCTATTGGAAGTCCTAACCATCTAAGAAAATAAACTAGTTTGTGCATGTGCTGTTATTATTTCTCTCTACTCAGCACTAGTGAGAATGTACTTACAGTGTGTCCCTGTTTATTTTTGGCTCTCCTTGTTCAGTCCTGACATAGAAAACACTCCTGTTTCAGACCGCTGGAGATTTACCATAAAATAAAGTTTCATCCACTGGATTTATCACTCCTTTCTTCTCCTAAATATTCCATAAGAAGAGAATTTATTTTACCTCCTTCTTCCTGTCCCATATATAAACCACAGTGTTTTCTTCTTTTCTCTGCAGGCAATTCACAAGGCCCTGCTGGAAGTTGATGAGGCTGGATCTGAAGCTGCAGGAGCCACTGCTGCAATCTCTACCAGACTTCTGTATCCTTCTGTTACCATCAAATTCAACAAGCCCTTCCTTATTTTGATCTCTGACAAGCTAACTGGCACTACACTTTTCATGGGGAAAATTGTTGATCCTACTAAAAAGTAATTGCTGAGTTATTTGGCGTATTGGTGTTGGGCACGAGTTGTAATGGGTACAGTGTTCGCATTCATGGGCTAGTTAGTGCTACTAACTGCTCTCTGATTGAGGGATATTCAGAAGTAAATGAGGAATTCCTCGTCAAATTAATAAGCAAAAAATTATTAAAAAAATCTCATCAAGTAACGCTTTTTAAATGTAACATTTTCCCCAGTTGAGTAATTATATTGGGTTTGCATGGCAAGGTTTTGGTAGCAGGTGGGGCTACAGGAGTGGCTTCTCTGAGAAGCTGGTAGAAGCTTCCCTCACGTCCAACAGAGCCAAGGCCAGCCGGCTCCAGGACGGAGTTGGCACTGGCCAATGCCAAGCCCATCAGAGATGATAGTAATGCTTCTGTAATAACATATTTAAGAAGGGAAAAAAAGCTATTTTGCAGAAGTAATTGCAGCCAGAGAAGAGCAGAGTGAGAATAAGTGAAAGAAACAGCCCTGCAGACACCCAGGTCAGCGCAGAATGAGAGGGAGGAGGTGATCCAGGTGCCAGAGCAGAGATTCCCCTGCAGCCCATGGTGAAAAACCTGGTGAGGCAGCTGTGCCTACGCAACCCCTGGAGGGATGCAGCGATCCATCTGCAGTCTGTGTAGGAGGTGGATGTCCAAAGGAGACTGTGATACATGGGAAACCCACACTGGAGCAGGTTCCTGGCAGGATCTGTCAATCCATGGAGAGAGGAACTCATGCTAGAGCAGGTTTCCTGGCAGGACTTGTGACCCTGTGGGGGACCTAGGATGGAACAGCCTGTTCCTGAAGGACTGCACCCCATGGAAGGGACCCATCCTGTAGCAATTCATGAAGAACTGTAGTCCATGGAAAGGACTCACACTGGAGAAGTTTGTGGAGGACTATTACCTATGGGAGGGACCCCATACTGGAACAGGGGTAGGACTCCCTGAGGAGGGAGCAGCAGCAGAAACAGCATGTGATGAACTGATCATAACTCCCATTCCCTGTCTCCTTGCACTGCTGTGGGGGAGAAGGTAGTGCCTGGGCAGGAGGGATGGGTAGGGGGAAGGTGTTTTTAAGATTTGTTTTACTTCTCATTATCCTGCTGTGTTTTTGATTGCTAATAAATTAATTTAATTTCCACAAGTGAAGTCTGCAGAGGTCAATAACGCTAAGACGATCCCAGCGGAGGCAAGAAGCTGGAATGCTTTATTGGACTTACAAGTTCTTATTTAAAGGCTTTAGGGTCTACATATTCAATGGGGGGTTTACATATTCATCAGGGGCCAGAACTATTACAATTAGGGACTTTATAGGGATGAGGTAAAGGGGAAATCCTAAATTACCAACTTTTGGGTCTTAGCACTTACATCATAGGGGAAAACCCATCTTATCTTAGGGGGATTACATGGGGGGAGCAGATAACACAAAGGGAGAGATAAAACACAGAAGTTTTTCTGCACAGGTATGATGAGATCAGGGCATGGTTTCTCCAAGCTTGGGCAGGACATTCCAAACCCATGACATCAATAGATCCTTGTCTGGACTCTAAATGGAGGTTTTTTCCCAGTCTCTGTCAGCCCAAGGCTTTTGTTTAAACCTAGTAGTTTTCTTTTTCTCATATCCAAAAATTTGGAATCCAACACAAGTCTGTTTTGCCTTTGACAGTAATCTCTCCCTTTCCTTATTTCAACTCATTAAACTTTCATTATATTTTCTCTCCCCTGTCCACTTGAGGAAGGAAGTGATAGAGTGGCTTTGGTGGGCACTTGGCATCCAGCCAGGGTCAAAACACAATTGAAGTTATTAATATGTTTTCCAAATTTTCCTTGAAAGATAACTTTTTTAAAGTATGTTGTTATTTTTCAAAGTGAATTCTCTCTGCTAAGGAGTTTTGCTACTCACCAAAACCTTTATCCCAATAGGTAACAAGTCTTGTAATGCTACTACGTCTTCTCCAGCACATGATGATGACCAGTATTCACCTGAGCTGGTCCCTACAGAGTTTTTTCTTCTTTACATTGCTCTTTGCTGCCTAGGCTGTTTATCCTCAATCAACCTATTCTTTCTCATATATTCCAACTCTTTGCCTAGGAGCTCTTAAGAAATCATTGACAAAAAAAAAAAGAGAAAAATCCCTGAAACAATAGACTTATTCTGCTGTAGCTCTCAATGTGTCTCTTTGCAGTCCACAAGGTCAGCAAAAAACTTTGAGACAGTGACATTAGGCATAGCATAAACTGTCAAAGAATTGTCCTGTGACAAATGTCATTCATGAATTATTGTTATGGCTGATAAATAAACTAAGCATTGCAATTAAAATCCATCACTTAAGGAATTACTCCAGTCTCTTGTTATCATTCTTTAAAGCTTTTAAAATCAACAGAAGCCCTCAGTCATTCTTATTAACATATCAGGATGTCTGTAAAATATGTTTTATGTCTATAAAATATGTTTTAAAATCTGTTAGAGGAGTAAAACTTTTCTCATGTGGAAATTGAGATTCTTTACATTCTCTTTTTGTGTGCCTATTTGGGTAAAACCTGTTTTCAAGAAATACATGAACACTTCCTTTCTGTTGTGGGTCTGTAGATCACCACTCTTACTGCAGTGGAGTACTGGGGCTAAACTATAACAAACCATTTATCACACAGCTGCTGCCTCAAGGAGCGGCTGACTTCAACAGCGGCTCTCTCACTGCACTGCTTTAACTCATGCCATTGCATATTGATCCTGGATACATTTTTTGCAAGTGGAGTTGAGTCCCTGTGTCTAGGAAGGTGATGTTTCTGAATGTACTTGCTCATTTCCACAGTGATCCTGGCAATGTGCTTTGAGCACTGCAAAGGCAATGCAAACCCCTAATCAAAGCTCTCCCCTCACATCTCTGGCCTTCTGACCTGTTCTCCCAAACTTGGTCCACCCTACATAAAGGTGCTTTACTGAGGCCCATCAGTGCTTGAAGCATGGGTTTCATGTACGGAGGACTATGTTTCTGGCTGAGGGAGACTTGGAGATTGCTGCTGTGTATGAATCCGTTTGCACCACATTCCAAGAATTCAGTGGAAGCCCTGAGCTATTGCTTCTCCTGGGATGAGATACCATCACTCAGCGGACTGGGAGAGACCATACCTCTGTGCAAAACAGCGGCTTTTGCAGATCAATGATAACTTGCTGTGGTGTGAGGCAGCCTGCTCTGCGATGGCCATACAAACTCAACAAGCGCTGGGAGCGGTTCCCACGAGATCCCATCCCAATAAATCTGTGCACCAGAACTGACTAGAAGGTAGGATGGGGAGATTTTTATCTGAGTAATGAGATTTTTATCAGGGTGCAGTGGCAGAAAAACAGGTTCTTGGCCTGCTGCTAAAGGGAAAGAAGTTAAAAAACCCATGGTTGCTAGGACAGAGCAAAGGCTTTAGGAAATAACACATGGAGCAACTTCATGCCCCATCTACCTCTCAGGCTTTACTTTTGAGAGCAGAGGCAAGGAACAGCAGGACAACAGCTGCATTGGGAGTTTCCACACTGGACTGTGGAAAGTGACTGCTCCTGGCAAAAGTATCAAATGAGACACCTTTGAATGCTGGTTTGGGAGTTATCTATCACAATCTGGGGCATTACCACAGTTGCCCTCCAGTTGACAACTTCATGCTCCAGACCAGCAGGTTGGCCTGAGTTGTAGCAGGGACCTGTGGTGGGAAGAGGGATCACACCAAATCTCTCTTGAAGGGAGGGATATCGAGGGAACAGGAAACTAGTTAGTCTTGTGTTATACATACACCAAAACCAGAAAAATGCCTATAGTTCACAGTATAGAGATCTATAGAGCCTGGACTGACACTGATGTCACTTTCAGCGTTGTTCTAATGATATTCTTTAGGAACTGGACAATTCTGCAAAGTTTTTGTAGGGAGATAGGGTATTTTGTCCTAGTTCCAAGAAATCTGTCTTAGTCTGCCTTGTATTAATTGTCTGTGTAGCTGTTGTGTGTCTTTATGTTACAGGGAAAGTTCCTCTTCATGCTACTAGAATTCTTAATGGTAGAGAAGGAAAGGAAGGATTGTGGTAGACATAAATGGTTTAATTTTCATTTATGGACTGTGTATTCATTCTATCTGTGGCAAAACCATGTATTTTATGGCGTCTCTCCTTCATCTGTAGGTGATTTTATTAACATTCTTCAATATTTCCCTACGATTCTCACTCATGCATTTTTTCAGCCTATAGGGCAGCAGGATCCAAACTAAGCCCTGAAAGAGAGTTAGACCATTTTTATAACCTAAAAGTGTAATCCACTTTACTTTCTGCAGTGACAGTCAGCAGAAGGGGATAATAAAGCTTACAGTGAAGTATACCCTACCATAAACATCCAAGAGAAATGACCTGCTGTGGGTCTTTTAGCCCTGACCTGACATGCTTATGTGAAGCTCTGAGGAAAAAGACTTACCTAAACAGAGCATATCTCAGCTGATAAGCTCTGTGAATGAAAACAGATCTGTTAGGCGGGGTCCCTGAAAGGCAGCCTAGCTGTGCCCCAGCAGACCTGAGGGAGAGACTTCTCCTGGCAGCCTATGAGCCATGTGGGAGACTGTAAGTTTGTTCTATCTGACCTTGTTTGTGGTCCACTGGGACTCTTGATGATGGGATAGCTTCTGTCAGCAATTCTCTGTTTGCTTTGCCCTGTGACAGAGTCCAAGTAGAATGGTGTTACAAAACATGAAGCAGTAGGATGGCAGGGCTAATGTAGTATGTGTTCAATGCATTTTACCTTTCATCAGTAAGGAGAGGAGCTGACTTAATGCCAAAAGGCATAAAGCATTTGAATAGTTATAGAAGAACCAATTGCTCACATAAGCCCTGTTTTTCAGCTGCTACCAGTACTTTGGACTTTCTTTTCTTATTCCTGGCTATGCAATTTGAGTCTCAGCCTTGGTATCTGAAGAACTTACCCTTGAATGGGCATAGCAGTCCTCTCCCCACAGCTGTGTCATCTGCTCAGCCCTTGATCGCTGCTACTACTTTAACGAAATAGGACTTCACCTAGATGTAAGTCAACCCTCTTCTGATTGTGCTGATAGATTCAGCACAACAAAAGGTGCAGGCTTTTTCTCTTTACTCACACTCATTTCAGGCAGGGAATCACTAAACTCTTAAGAATCAGATGATTGTGATAGTTCCCAGGCAGGTTGGTTTTTGAATGTGTATTCTGGGAACTGGGAGTACCCGTAGGCTGATACAAGGCAGTCTCAGTGCCTCACAACCCAGCTGCTTATCTTTGACATGAGTCTTGGTAGCTTTTAGTGGTACAAAAAAAACCCCTCATAGCAGTGTTAATCCCTAATCCAGCATTCAATTCTTGCCCCCAAAACAGAGAGGTACTAGGATTTCCAAGCAGAGAAAAAGAGCAAGAGAAACACGAACATTCTAAAATGCAGATATTTCACTGAAATCTCTAAATATGCACTGCGGTGGAAGTTAGAGCAAGTGCAAATTATCAAGAGGGAAAGGAGCATGAAGACTGCCACGGGCTATGTATCTCTGAGTCCTGTAACACACCCTCCATATCTTACCCATCCGTACAGCATTCCTTGTTGGATACTGCACATCTGCTCTTACCCCATGAAAGCAGCATGGGGCTGTTTTCATTAGATTTAAACTGAGCATATTTTTAATATCATTCATTGCCTTTAAACTGTTAGCCAGCAAAGACTGATCTGGAAGTATCCTTCATTAAGTTCCCAGTCCCAGGTATAACACTGAATCCATTTTTAAATAATTTGGTAATTGTGCTTTCCTCAGACTAACAGTTTTAAAGAAAACTATCATTCATCCATTTCATGTAGATGTCATTGATTATGATTAATATCCTGGTTACACAAAGTCAGCTAAACACTGATGCTGCTGTAAATGACTTCGCTGGCTTCTTGAAAAAAAGAATTTCTATCATGAAAGTGCCTTTTCAGTTCAATCCCACCCCCAGAGATGAATTTTAATCTTATTTATGCAAATGAGCCTTTGTTTCTCTTATGCATATTGCATTCAGTTTCTTTTCCATAAGCCATCTGGAAACAAAATTCTTATTACATAACTAAACAAGAACATATCATTTGAGGTTGGAAAACTGTTAACAGCAATATGATGCTCATATGGAAGGTCTGAAGAAGACTTTGTCTGACTTGGGCAACTATCTTACTGTGGAAAAGTTACTATATTTTTTACCATGCAGAAAAAACAGACTATATGGAAGATGCTCTGATCAAGAAAAATGTTTGAAAGGAAAAAACAACATAGAATAAGACAAAACAATCACAGAATCAGGTTGGAAAAGAACTCCAAGATCATTGAGTCCAACCTAAATGTTCTAGTCATCATAAGAACTTTGGTTGCAGCCAGGGAGCAACTTCAGAGCAGGAGAAAACATCTGTGCACAGAGGAGATGAAAGATGTAATGAAAAGTCCTAATGAATATGAATACCGTTAGGTTTGCTCTTCTCACAGATGCAGATTCTCTAACCATTAGAAAAACCACACCATAACTTACATCTTCAAGGGACAGATACTAGAATTTATTTTCTGTTCCTCTATCTTTCAAGTCTGAGCTATGTCCCTTGGGTAAATCCTGTGGGTGAAATTCTAAGGCATTTTCTGTCTCAGTTGCCCTGGGCAGAGA